ATAACTACAGTCAGGTTACATTCCATTGAATGAAAACTCAGTTGAAACTGGTTTAAAACACAAAGGTGGTGTATTGATTATACAATACAAAAAATCCAGCACTAGAGTGGTGAGCAGCTGTGATTCAACTAGAGCTCTGGCTGCCTTGGTCTTTGAGTCTCTCAACTCTGCCACTTTGTTCTAGTTTTATCCTGATGAGTAAGATGTTTCTGTAACTTCAAGCTTTACACGCATATATGGCAATCCTTGGATGAAGAGAGGCTGGCCCTCTCCAAGATTTTCTCCCAAGATTGATGAAACTTGTTTTCTAAAAACCCTCAGCAAATTTCCCTCCCATCACATCAGCTTAGGTAAGGTTACCTGTCCATTTCTGGCCAGCCCCTGTGACCTGAGGTCATGCATGTACTAATTTGTTGAGAAACCTCAGACGTAAGCCAATCACTGTCTAGAGGGTAAGAGTGCATGGAGATTAATCAGCTTTTCTCTGAAGCTGGGGTGAGAGTATGTGTTTCTGAGGCAAGGAGGCTACTGGAGAAGGGTGAATACCTGAGTGATAATTCAGAACTCATCAAGAGATAGAAGAATGGGTGTTAGGGGGTTAGCATCCTGAGTGGAACATGGTTTCTGGAGTCAGAGAGACAGAGATGGTGCCCTTTATCCACCACTGGGTGGTGTAACTTTATGTAGCTGAGCCTCAGTTTCCAAATGGAGATGATAGTGGTCATTGTCTTTGGTACCGTTGTGATATGTAAAGGAGTTAACATAGGAAAGGCACTTAGAATAGTGCCTGAACCACGGTAAATGCTCAGCAAATACTAGCTTTAAATTCATACTCAAATATGTGAGGGAGTTTGAGCTTTATCTTTTAGAGCCTGACACTCTAGAGCTTTATCTTTTAGAGCCTGACATTGAAGGTCTTTTGTGTCTTGACAGCTGGATGATTTCCTGCTGCTTAAATCATAATAACAAATTAGAACTCCAGTGATGCTGATGGTGACAAGAAATGTCAATTAGTTGAGTAGTTGGGACAGAAATCGCATGGCCAGCAAAGCTGAGAATATTATCTGGCCCTTTACAGAAGTTTGCCAACTCCTGAAATAGAGGACCAGAAAAATGCCTTCTGATATAAAACACTTAAGCATGTTAAGCCCAGGTGCAGCAGCTCACCCCTGTAATCCCAGCACTTTGGGAGGCCAAGGTAGCTGAATCCTCCCACCTCAACCTTCCAAGTAGTTCAATATCAGCCTGGCCAACATGGTGAAACCCTGTTTCTACCAAAAATACAAAAATTAGCTGAGAATGGTGGTAGTTGCCTGTAATCCCAGCTACTTGGGAGGCTGAGGCAGGAGAATGGTTTGAAGCCAGGAGGCAGAGGCTGCAGTAAGCCGAGATCATACCACTGCACTCCAGCCTGGGCAACAGAGTGAAACTCTGTCTCAAAAAAAAAAAAAAAAAAAAGATCGATAAAACATGTTTTTATAAAATAGTTTTAATGCATAGCTGAAATTGAGGCAAAATAAGGAAATTCCTAAGTGTCCCGAAATGACAAGAAAGTACACACCTACACACAGAGTGAGAGAAGTTGAACAAGCACACTCACAAATAGGACAAATGTGTATCGAGAGCCAAATATATGTCAGGTACGTATTGCTCTGTGCCTGGGGAACAGGGGCAATAAGGTAGAAAATAAAACAGACATGGGATTAACCTCACAGATCTTAAAGTCCAGTGAGGTAAACAACTTTTATAAGAAATAAATGTATATTAAATATTTTGAAAAGTACTGTGAAGAAAAAGAGCAAGATGCTTTGAAATAGAATAACAAGTGACACCTGCTTTAGGATTATGTGCCTTAAAAAGGACTCCAGAAATAGTGCCACTGGAACTCGGGAAGAGTTAATATATACACGAAAATGTGAGAGACCATTTCTTTTAGGCAGACGCCTAGGCTCTGCCAACTTTGCTTGATTCTATCTGACTATATAAGACAACAAGTTATAGAAGTATAATAATGCCTTTGCTGCAAAACCAGAAATGGATGCTTAAGAAGAAATTTTCACATCTCATGAAATGTGCATTTTGATGCTGTAGTAATTGTTCCAATTTAAAACATGCATTTATACATATATTCTTCTTCTTTTCTTTTCTTCTTCTTCTTTTTTTTTTCTTTTGAGACAGTTTCTCCCTCTGGTTCCCAGGTTGGAGTGCAGTTCGTAATCAGCTCACTGTAACCTCTTAAATTCCTGGGTTCAAGGGATTCTCTTGTCTCAGCCTCCTGAATTGCTGGGAATACAGGCACACCCAGCCTCAGCTGGCTAGTTTTCATATTTTTTGTAGAGACGGGGTCTCACTATCTTGCTTAGGCTGGTCTCAAACTTGTGGTCTCAAGCAATCCTCCTGCCTCAGCCTCTTAAAAGTGCTGGGATTACAAATGTGAGCCACCACACCTGGTTTATACATATTTCAATAGTTTTACTATAACAGCAAAGTCCCTTTGAGGCAGCGGACAGCCTTTTTTTTTTTTTTTAATTATTGAAACATCTGTCTTGCTCTTATCACCAACGCTGGAGGGTAGTACATGACCATGGTTCACTGCATTCACTGCAGCCTCAACCTCTTGGGCTCATATGATCCTCACACCTCAGCCTCCCAAGTAGCTGGGACCACAGGTGTGTGACACCATGCCCAGCTACTTTTTTTTTTTTTTTTCTTCCTTTTTGTAGACATGGTATTCTCACTACATTGTACAGGCTAGTCTCGAACTCTTGGTTTTAAGCAATTTTCTAGTGTCAGCCTCACAAAGTGCTGGGATTACAGGTATGAGCCACCACACCTGGCTAGACAACAGACTTTTAATAATAAAAGAAAAGTTCTTTTTATTCTAAGGTTGACTTTAGGAGCCTGTCTAAAGTAAAGGTGGGTAGATGAGACTGATTGCTTACAGAAAGCTAGCTTTGTGTGCTGAACTTGATACTATTAGAGGTTTCTTGAAAGATCTGGGAAAAAAAGTTTAAAATTGCAACTGGAAGATATTTGCTAGACTAGAAATGGCGAGTCCTAAGCACTCAGGAATTCAGCAAATTGCTGCTGGTTGGGTTTTTATTTTTATTTTTTGGATTTAAGATACCCTCAAACTCTAGTTATTTCTGAATTTATATTCCACATTAACAAAACCCATAAAGAAATTCTAGTCTGCCTTTGTAACCCATATGTCAGCTTGGGTATCTCTGCCCTTTAATAAAATGTAATTAATGACATTCCCCAAGAATAGTTGAGGATTCTCAAGTGGCTAATTGTTCATGGTCATCTCTGCTGTTGCTGGGGATGAATCAGTTTTGTTTATGAATCATTTTCATTTTGCATGGGCTCCATAACAAGTTGATCCAGACCAGGTCAAGGCCCCGTTCTTCATTTGTCATAAATTTAGAATTAAACAACAAAAAGAACATGTGCCTAGGCCTCCCTAACACTCATAGGACCTGCCTTTACCTCCCACACATGGACTCCCAATCTTTCAATAGGTCATCCTCTACCCTGTTAACTGAAGTTTTCTGTGTTTATTTTTGTCATCTTTTAAATCTTCCATTTATTGTAATTTGGGAGAAAATGAAGTCACTGAGTTAATTCATTTTGCTGAGTTTAGTACACAAATTCTAGGCAACATTTCACAGACCTGGCTCTTTCATGATGTAATAAATATGGGCTTTTGTAAACTGTTTTCCTCTTTTTGGTCTCACAGCTATGTTTTGGATGATTAAAGTTGCTGAAGGTCTAAACACTCAATAGCAGGTTACTAGTAGGTTTTGTTCTTATATCTGCACTGGGCGGTAGCATAGGGCAGTAGAAAGAACACCGAAGCTCTAGATATTACTATCTTCTCAATCAGAGAAGTAGAGCTTGGTGGAGAGACCATAGCCTAGTTAGCTAACCCATATGAGTCTTGTTTTTATTATGCATAAACTGGATCTGATAATAATAGCTGTTTCACAGGGATTTGTAAAGATCAAATGTGATCCTAGGTATAAAATAATGTTTTACATTGTGCAATATAAATATTAGTTTTGTTATGAGTAACCTCACATTTCTTTTACCCAGGTATGTTCTTTTGTTCATTGCCCCTAAGCAAGACTCTCTACATTGCCTGCATCAGTTTCACACTCTTTGCAAGGATGTATACATTCCTACATTTTCTTTTCTACAGTTAGTCATCATTTCATTAGAAAGACATTTAAGTATTCACATTTATATTATAACATTTAATTTTTGTTGTTTTGCCCATTTCAAAACAAACATGTTTGTTTTTAAGTTAATAATGTTAAAAACTCAGCTTATAAAATTGAAAGTTGCTAGAAGTGGTGACTCATGCCTATAATCCAATTATATATATATACACATATAGATATAATCTCTTCTATAATTGGTTTCCATTGTCATATATGCCTATTTTAAATTTTATTTTATTTTTTTTAAGAGATGGGTCTTACTATGTTGCCCAGGCTGGCCTTGAGCACCCATGCTCAAGTGATCCTCTTGCCTCAGCCTCCCAAGTAGCTGGGACTACAGGTGTGCCACTGCACTGGACGAACATATGTCTATTTGCCTATATTTATACGTATAAACTTACCCATCCATTAATATTAGTGCATAGAATTCTATTACATAGATGTGCCTTAATGTATTTAAGAAATCCCCCTTCTGAGGGATTTTTAAGTCTCTACTTTTTTACCACTATAAGCAATACAGCAATGAACACGAATTTCATGTATTTGTCCCACTTTGGTATTTGTTTCCTTAGAAAAAAATTCCAAGATCTGGAATTTGAAGATTAAAGAATAAATATTTTGGCTAGGTGTGGGGGCTCACGCCTATAATTCCAGCACTTTGGGAGGCTGAGGCTGGTGGATCACCTGAGGTCAGGAATTTGAGACCAGCCTGGCCAACATGGTGAAACCCTATCTCCACTAAAAATACAAAAAAAAAAAAAAAAAAAAAAAAATTACCTGGGCGTGGTAGCAGGCACCTGTAATCCCAGCTACTCAGGAGGCTGAGGCAAGAGAATCGCTTGAATCCGGGAGGCGGAGGTTGCAGTGAGCCGAGATCACAGCACTGCACTTTAGCCTGGGCAACAGAGCAAGACTCTATCTAAAAAAAAAAAAAAAAAAAGAATGAATTTTTAATTATGATACATATCACCATATTGCCTTCAAAACTGTGGGACTAATTTATGCTTCTAAGCGAAGAATACAATAGTGCCCATTTCCCCACAATCTCACCAGCTTTCTAATGGGCCGTCTGTCCTTTTATTACCTTTTTATAGGCACTCCTTGTTTTTTCTGATCTTCAGTACTTTGTCATTTAGATGTTTTGCAAATATCCTCTCATGGTCTTTTTACTTTGTTGGGCCTTCTGATAAACAGAAGTTTATGAAGGTAGTCAATTTTATTCATTTATTTGTATTAAAGTTATATTCTTTTACAGTATCTTCTAACAGTTTTAGAATTTTTTTCTTTCATATTTAAGTTTTCAATCTACCTAGAGCTTATTTTTTGTAAGAGAGAGGTTTCCAACTTTACTTTTTCCATCTGGATGCCCAATTATCCCAGAGCTATTTATTGAGACATTCAGTCTTCATTGATGTGCCCTGTCTTTACTTACATGTATAGATCTGTTTCTCAACACTATTCTGTTCCATCGGCCTGTTTATCCTTGGGCTAACAAAACACTGTCTTAATAGCAGCAGCTTTACAATCATTGCTATCTGATAAATCTTGTCCTCTTATCTTGTGCAATAGAATTGCCTTTTCCTACACCTTTGCATGTTCTATGCATTGTCCCATGCTACAAAAATGAAAAATAAAGCTGTTGAACATTGACATATTGTCATTATTTTCTTTTGTTTCCCTTAAGGTCTAGAAAGCATCACATAATTCTATTATTTAGTCTTCTGAACGATGAAATGGTCTGTCTCCATTTATTTAGATCTCCTTTAATATATCTATAATTTTAAGAGGTTTTACACATTGTTGTTAGATTAATTTCCAGTTACTTCTACCTTGAGATGCTATTATAAATGACTTTTTTAAAAAGATGGGGTCTTGCTATGTTGCCTAGGTTGGTGTCAAACTCCTGGGCTCAAGCGATTCGTCTGTGTCAGTCTCCCAAAGTGCTGGAATTACAGGCCTGAGCCACTGCACCGACTTTTTTTTTTTTTTTTCGATATGGCATCTAGTTCTGTCACGCAGGCTGGAGTTCAGTGGCATGATCTCGGTTCACTTTTTTTCAATTTCTAATTGTTTGATGGTAGTTTTTAATGAATACAGTCAATTTTTTATATTGACCTTATACCCAGCAACCTTGCTAAATAAATTTATTAATTCTAATAGTTTGTAGATTATTTTCAGTTTTTCAGGTGTAAAATTGTCCAGAAATACAGTTTTCTTTCTTTCAATTGTGAATGCCTTTTATTTATGTTTCTTCTCTTATTCTACTGGCTAGAACTTCCACCAGTGCTGACTAGAAGTATGCCCTGTTCTTGACCTCAGAGGAGAACTTTCAACATTTTGCATCGTGTTTATTCTAGAGTTTTGTAGATCTCCTCTATCAAAATTAGGAAGTTCCACTGTATTTCTAACTTTGCTGAGAACTTTTATTAAAAATGGATGTTGGATGTGGACAGAGGTGGCCCACACCTGTAATCCCAGCACTTTGGGAGGCTGAGGCGGGAGAATCGGTTGAAGCCAGGAGTTCAAGACCAGCCTGGGCAACAAAACAAGACACTGTCTCTACAAAAACAAACAAACAAACAAACAAACAAACTAGCCAGGCATGGTGGTGCATGCCTGTGACGATCCCAGCTACTTGGGAGGCTGAGGTGGGAGGATAAGTTTAGCCAGGAGTTAGAGGCTGCAGTGAGCCATAATTGTAGCTGTACACTCCACTGTAGGTGACAGAGTGAGACCCCCATCTCTGAGGGGGTGGAGAAAGAACGGATATTGGAATTTATCAAATGTCACTTCTGCATTTATGAAGATATTCATATGATCTTTCTCCTTTAATCTGTTCTTACAAATATTGTTTTTAAAGTTCGTTATAAATAAGTCATCCAAATGAGACTTATTTATATACAGATGAGACTGTAGCAAGCCATTCACTTCCATTGGGTCTTTTTTTTTTGCACTTCGTTTTAGGCAGTTGAATTTGAATGACGATATAAGCAGGTGTTTATCATGAGTGTGGACGAGGCTCCTTCCTGAGCACTTTGTATGTATTATCCTATAAATTATCTCAACACTCAGTGAGATAGCTACTGCCGTTCCTGTTTTTCAGATGAGAAAACTGATTTGCAGAGATACTGAGTGATTTGCCCAGGTCACAGCTGGTGGGTAGCCACGCTAGGATTTAAATCTGGTCTATCTTCAAAACATTTGATCTGAAGCCATACCAGTGCTTTTTACTCCATCTACCCATCAGAATCACATGAGAAACAGTCCTATAATACTGTGCCCCAGAGAGTAGCCAGACTAGCTCTCAGGGAATAGTGTACCATCCAAAATATATGTATTAGAAAATAAGAAAGAAGAAAAATAAACAAACAATCCAAGATAAGAAGCCAGAGAAAAGCAGCAAAATAAACCCAATGAAAGTAGTGGAAGATATAATTTGATATACAATTTGACTGCAGAGTGCCTTCCCTGATGCTGCAGCCGGAAGTGATCCTTCCCTCCACCTGGCCCCTGGGACACTGTGCTGTGTAGTGTGCAGAGTCTGATGGCACTGCTAGATTGCTTTTTCAGCTCAGGGCCACAGCTTAAACGGCTTTACCTTTCCCCTCAGCACCTGTCCCACTACTTTGCACACAGGTGCTCTAACCATGTTTATTGAACAAAGAAGGGAAACTGATTTCACTTTCACTTGTTCATTATCATTCCTGGGAGGCAGAGCTTGCAGTGAGCAGAGATTATGCCACTTCACTCCAGCCTGGGCAACAGAGCAAGACTCCGTCTCAAAAAAACAAAACAAACAAACAAAAATAGCCAAAGATGGAAAAGGTACAGTAAAAATGTGGTGTTCTAATCCTATGGAACCAGTGTCATATGTGCTGTCTGTGATTGATCAAAATGCCAATATGCAGGCAAGCCTGTATAAAATCCTATCATCTTATTTGGGGTATTATCATGGCTTAGACGCAAAGGGGATCTAATGAGCAAATGGTGCAGATCATTCCTTTCACAGATCTATAAACATCTCAGCGAGGTAAAGTAACTTGCCCATTATCACACAGAGAGGCATGATTCTGGGCCTCGTGTTTCCCACCTCCCCCATCACCCAGGAATTTAGTAGTAAGTCTGTGAAGTAACAAAGTTAAAAATGGGGACATCTTGGCTTTGTGTGGTAGTCATGGTGGTGATATGGGAGAAGCAGCTTTATGTTGATTTTGGACAAGAAAAGGCCAGAGGCATCTTGCTGGAAGCAAACATGGAAAGAAACCAGGCTACACTGTTTTCTTACCCACCCTCAAGTTTCCAAAGCACATAGAGTTGGGAGAAATAAAAAAGAAAGAACAACAACAAAAAAAACAAAACAACCCCCCTCCCCCAAAAAACAAACTAATGACCTCAGAACTTAATAGCAGACCTAATTTATAAACTGACAGTGTTTCCTACATTCAACATGTTTATGACTCCATGCAGTCTACGCATGGTTTATAAGCCACAGTGTTAACATAAGCCTGGGTTAGGTTTCAGAGTTATATTCCAGATATGTAAAGAGGCTTTTTAGCAAAACAACTTGCCATCTCAGAGAGCCCTTATATCCTTACACTGAGGGTCTGAGAACATGAAAGAGAAGTCAGGGAACCTGCAATTGAGGTCAGAGAGCACACTGCAATCACATTTTTATCTTGCTAGGGCCCTTTCTGGAGTCTCATTAATTAAAGCTCTTAGTTTAGCAACCTGGGTTGTGAATATTCTTCCTTCCCTTTCTTGTCAGCACAGTGAAAAAAATGCTAGTAAGGTAGCTGTGTAATACACTTTAAGACCATGGACACATTCTCTCTGCCAGGCTCTTTGTCCACAACAAATTGTGAATTACATTTCCATTTTCATCCACACTGGACAATAAGAGTCTTTAATGTTCACAGTTATCTTCTTGAAGAGATTTGTGCTCTAATTCCACAGTAAACATTTTAAAATCCTATTCAAAATACTGTATTTCCAATTTCTGCAAAGCATTTTAAGATGGCCTCTAAGCTTTTACAAAGGATTAAGTACACCAATTATCTCATTTCTATTTGTAGTAAGTCATAATGCTGGATTAAGAGAAATACTTTTGGTATACAACGAATACTGTTCAGTTACACCGGTGTTGGAGGAAATGGAAAAGTAATATTTAAAAGTAAGAAAGAAACAAAACTGCTCTTCAGGGAAATATTCATGAATGAACTTTTACTTACTTCTTCCTCATATTAATACATTGCACAGGGTGAAATTGATGAAATCTTAACATTGTTATAAATGAGAGGAATGGCATCTGTCATAGAAGGTAGGGAAGAGTTACCTAAATCTCAAGCACATAGGGGCCACCTCCACGACTGTAATCATGTCTACAATACATCTGAATTTATTATTTATGATTTAAAGCAATTCACTTTTTTTCTTGTTTTTTAGACTGAGTCTCACACTGTTGCCCAGGCTGGAGTGCAGTGGTACAATCTTGGCTCACTGCAATCTCCACCTCCCAGATTCAAGCGATTCTCCTGCCTCAGCCTCCCAAATAGCTGGGATTACAGGCACCCACCACCATGCCTGGCTAATTTTTGTATTTTTAGTAGAGACGGGGTTTCACCGTGTTGGCCAGGCTGGTCTCAAACTCCTGACTGCAAATGAGCCGCCTGCCTTAGCCTCGCAAAGTGCTGGAATTACAGGCACGAGCCACTGCACCTGGCCAGCAATTCACTTTAAAAAAACATTTCCTACACAAGAATAATTATGAAATTCCAGACTTGGTTTGTTCATTATATTTTTTTCTAATGCATATGAAAAG